GGGGTAAAAGTATTGGACAGAACCCCAGCACCACCATTCCATGTTGGAAATTGCAATAGCAAAAATGCTGTGAAACACACAAAGGCTGAAATCCAAGTAAAATGTTCTGTATGCACCAACAACCATATTTTAAAATGTACTTATTATGACACCTCACTGGCTGAAATGAAAACATTCATATGTCTGCTGTACTTAGAAGGGATTTCTCATGGTAATTGCAGGAATGTAAAAGACTTATTGAAAAGTGATGGGTTAAAATATGGCACCAAATTTTATGCCCTTGCGCATGTGAAGGCTTATGATGCTTTCAATCTAGACATCTATCCTGGAACTCAGCCATCAGTCCTTACTCATATAGCACAGCAGAAAACCTAACCATGCTGCAAACAGGCTTGTTGCTCCCATCTCCCAAACTAATCACATTGTGACATTTGACAACTGGTTTACCAGTTTCCAATTGATGTTACATTTGCCAGCAGAGCACAAGCTGACCAGCACAGGAACTCTACACAGAAACAAAGCAGAATTTCCAAATGAAATGTTGCAGTTTCAGAGCACAGAATCCTATAGTAAAATCTGTGGATTTCAGAAAAATATAACATCGGCCTGTATATGGCAAAGAAAAACAAACTGGTACTGCTGCTGTCAACACTGCACCATGATGGAAATATTGATAGGAGAGCCTTGACAAAACAGAAGCCTGAGATGGACACTTTCTACAACAAAACCAAAGGTGGAGTAGATGTCATTGATGAATTATGCAGTAACTACAATGACACTTTAAACACAAAGGATTGGCCAATGGTTGTATTTTACTCAGTCCTAAACATGTATGTCATAAATAGTTTGATAGTTTACAAAGAAAATAACAAGTGAAAAATATCACAGAGAACTTATCTTAGGTGATTGGGACCGGCTCTCCTAAGAGATAATTTACAGCAGAGGAAAAATGAAATGTTTCTGCCCAGGGAATTATGCAAAAAAATGTGGAGCACACTGGTAAGTTGACAGGTGACTAGGCAGGCACAGCATCACAAAGACCTACTATACAACAGGGAAACAACAAAGATGTTTACTGTACCCTACAAGAAAGTTCAGGAAAACAAACCAGACATGCTATCAGGGTAAGCAAAATTTGTGTATGGAGCATGCAGTTGTCGTGTGTGAAGACCACCTTGGGTACGGCATTGGAAGTGAAGCCTCATCTACGCCAAAACACCCTGAACCCACCCGATCTTGTCTGAAGTGAAACCTCTTTTTGTGGTAGAGTGCTATCAGTATTTCATTGTAGTTCATGTAGGAACTCCTTTCTGATGTTATCTTTTAGGTTGTGAGCAAGTACACAGCTGATGCAAAACTGTTGATGTGTATTCTAAATACACATTAAGAATTTAATACTTTATTTCATTGATATTTTATGTTCCTGTTAATGGCACACTGTATAATATAATAAGAACCTCCTGACAAAAGCAAGACCACTTAGATGTCAAGTATGTCCTACAAAAAGGCCAGAAAAGCAAAGCACATGTGCTGTCAATATAAGCAATAGGTGTGTGTGGATACACTGTTGTCACGTGTGCAGACTGCCTTAGGTGTGTGATAAGTGAAGTAAAGATTATTTTTTTGTGAAGTGCTATTGGTATTTTCATTATAGCTCATATAAGAATTTATTTATGCTGTTCTTTTCCCAACTTAGTACATCAAAAAACAGTCAATGTTGAAAATTTTGATCGTTTTTTATAAACACTCAATAAATATTAAAAATTCAATACTTTATTTTTGTGACATTTTTCCTGTTTAGTTGTCATTGTTTAATATAATAAAACTCCTAAAATTAATAATTTATCAGTAGAAGTATTCTAAAGAATAAGCATGAACCTTATGCCCCAATTAAAAGTAAAGCAAGATGGAGCAGACTAGGCTAGGGTGGGCCAACATGCCCAGTGCAACAACCACGAGGAAAACAAATTGTAAACATCATACCTCAGAATCGGAGAACTCTGGAGACAATAAGGTTCACATAAATTCAAAAATCGAGGTTGGCACGGCTGTGCAAGCCTGTAATCCCAGCTCGCTGAGAGGTTGAGGCAGGAGGATTGTAAGTTCAAGCCCAGCTTGGGCAGTTTATCAAGATCCTCTCTTAAAATAAAAAATTTTAAAAGAGCTTGGGATGTAGCTCAGCATAAAGGCCCTCAGTTCAATTCCTAGTACCAGAAGCAAAAAAAAGAGAGAGAGATACAGGGTGGCAAACGCTTCACAGGTGAGATCCCTATAGCCATCTGCCTCTTTCCTTTGGGGCACTTGGCAAGAAATGATCTCACCCCTTAGAGGACAATGACTGATTGTCCAAGAGTAAGACTGGCAGGCTTGGTGGAGTTCAGACACATCTGAAATATTGATTTAGACCTTAGAGACCCAGGTCTAAGTCTCATTTTCCCACTAATCATTTGCTGTGTTCTGGCACAGCTTGGGAGACTGGAGGTTTGCAGATGCTGGGCTAGAAAAGCAAAGCGTGTTGGTCAGTTTTGCATCACTGGGGTGCAATACCTGACACCTATAACTTAAAGAAGAGGTGTGATATGGCTCACGGCTTCGGAGAATTCAGTCCACGGCAGGCAGCTCCACAGCAGAAACGTGGGGAAACAGTACAGTGGGGCACAACTGCTTTGTTCACGGTGGCAGGGAAGCGGATCGGGGAAACAGCCAAAGAAGAAGCGGCTGGGGGCAGGTGAGTACTCAGGTCATCCTCTCACGACCCAGCCAGGCACACCCGGAGGTGTGCTGCACGGACTGCCTAGGCAGCCCTTGGGCCACCCAAGCTGACAGTTCAGTTTATCTGTCACAGCAAATGAAATCCCCTACAGATTCTTATTGCCTAGAATATAAAAACTGGAATAAGTAAAGGACCAAATCTAGTAATTACTGAATCTGTACAGTACACATTTAAGTTAATTATTCTACTCCCTACATTTTTACATCTGTACATACAGTTTCATGAAAAACTTTTTAAAATAATATCAGTTACTCATATGCCAGCATGAATAGATTCCAACACAGAGAGAGTGGAGAGACGGCAGATGTGAAACCATAACAACAGGGATCAAGGTCAGGTCTGGTACGTTATGCAAAGTGTGCGTCTCCACAGAACTCTCCCCCTTATCCACACAGTAGAGACAGGTAGTTCTTGACACATCTGAAGTCACAGGCTATTGTAATTTTCAGATGTGGTGGAGTATTCCAAAGGCAGACTAAGACAAAAGCTTTGCAGACGATGCCGCTGCCATGATCAAAGCAGAACCACCACAAGCTACCCCCTCTCAGCTATGCCCCCACTTACTAGTGCTCCATTTCGTCTGTGTGACCAGTGGCCAGGGCCCTTGGTTTGTCTGTGTGAAACAGAAAGGGACTGTCTCAGGAGAGCGGATGTATGCAAGCTGGAGGCACACAGCTCTGCAGTGTGCCGACTGGCCGCCATGGGCCTCCAGTGAAGAAGCGGCAATGTATGGTGGGTAAACACAGCTGGGTCTTGCTCACAGCCTCTGCTGGGGTCAGTCTAGAAGATTCCTCTCTCCTCTGTGGTTCTAGATCTCATCAAGTTGTAGGGACAAGGGACTGTAAACAGGGAAAAGAACAGAATGAGGACCTCATTAGGTCTTCCGGCTGATCCTGACTAGGAGGAGTTAAAACTTTACTAAACACATTCCCCAGGGAAATAGGTCAAGGATTGGGGCAGAGAGAGGGGAAAAAACAAATGAAAAATGTCATTAGGACATAGACCAAGAGACCATAGAGAGAAAAAGCTGAAGAGTACAGACAGAGAAGTACACAAAACCAAGCTGAGCTAGCCGCCCCTCTCCACCTCCAGCACGATGCAAGGGGCTGACTAACTTTGGGGAAAGCCCTTATACAAGGAGGGACTGGCACGTATGCACTAACACACATGTATGTAAGAGTCTGCCAAAAAACGTCTACATCAGGAAAAGGAAATTTCAATACTACATTCGCTGAGACATCATGAGATGAATACAAGTTGCCTTGGCCCCCACAATTACAAACATCGCTCAAAGCGGTGGTCGTTAGCTTCCAGGCATTTGTTAGTACGGTGAGGTGCTGAAGTGGGTGTACATTCTTTGGCAGATTCTATCTAAACATATATATTTTTACTCTAGGGTTACTGTCATGATATTCACCTGATGGGTACAGACTACAACAGACATCCACGCTCCCCCTTACTAACTCTGAGCTAACCATGAATAATGCACCCCATGCCAACCCACTGCCCACCCCAAAGACAAGGCCCTGAAAAGTAGGTCAAGAGCATGTAAACACACAGACAGAAAGAAGCTCCACATGGACCACCGGAAGAGGTGACAAAGACAGAGGTGCCTGGAAGCCAACCGAGTTCTAGCAAGTTCCAGTTGCAGGTAAGAGTCTTTGACTCCTCTACAAAAGCATCAGGGAGCAAGGGGCGCACATATCCTCTGTCTTTCTGGAGTCCCCTACCCTGGTTCTTAGTTCTTATCAGGGTAACTATCTATATTCTCCTTTATTTTCCTTCCCCAAAATTTTTTCTTTCCTTAAACTTTGTATCCTTCATGCTTTGCTGATACTGAAGTTCATAAATCCCAGTGAGCTGGGCTCCACAGTGGAGCCCTGGCAGCCTTGCCGGGAATGTGACATCTTTGGTTCCCTAACTGGTAATCAGATGTAACAGCCCTTTCCTTCTAACTGGGGGAAGTAGACTACCTGGGTGAAAAAGAGTTTGAGTAGAGTAGAGGAGAGAAGGAGGAGAAAGAAGAGGAAAAGAAGGGGCAGCAGGGTTTGGCAGTAAGTGCCTTTCTGCCTGGAGCATCTCAAAGGATGCCCCCGTGACTAAAAGCCTCAGGGATTCCTTTCGGGCCGTGGCTACTTGTGAGCAGATGAGATGGAGCACTGTTAAGTGAGACCACGCTGAAAAAGGGTACAGAAGCGATGTCAGCTGCACAACCACTACCTCCTGCCTTCGGGAGCGAAGCACTGGCCCAGGCACTCATCCTCCTCCGTACAGCGCTGCCTTACACTCAGAATGTGCCAGACTGTATGAGCGGCCACCCTGAACTAGATGCAAGAGGCACAGTCCCAGGTTCCGTTTCCCACTCAGAACGAACTTGTTCCAAATTCCTAAACCAAAGTCTATTATCTCAACGTCATAAACCTTATTTCTAATTAAGATGATCTATGTCTCTTTCAGAATTATGCCTTCCAATTAGCAGGGAATAAGGCTACTCCTGCTGTGCGTTGACATGTAAAAGTTATCATGGAAAAAGTAAAAAATTACTCCAATTACATGAAAGTATTAGTCTTCTGTCCAGCTCACTCTGAAATACGGGCTCTTCGTATTACACTGAGTGTATGTGTCTTCATTAAATACGTTTGTTTGTAAACAGCTATGCTCCTCAATACTTTAACAAAATGCCCCTCAGTGCTATTAAGTAGCGGAGTGTCTGCTCATCAACTACAAGTTCGGCAGTTTCTCACTTCCAGTGTGTGTGCACGTTATCTGCACCTAAAACATTCTCTTGACCTTATTACAGAAGATAATTTTACCCAAGGGAAGTACGCAGGCTCTGGCATCAGATTTTCATTGACATTTCTCCATCATGTAATTACTCTGTGTGTTTTTAATGCTGTATGTTCTACAGAAAGATGACCCCATTATGTAACAATATTAGCTCTCTTCTAGACAAATTAAATAAAAACTCAGAAATATGGTGTCAAAAGGCAAAGTTATAGCAAATTTAGATAGGGATCTTAATTGGCCTTATTTGTAATTGCAGGGATGCTTCTTTCAAGTTCAGGAACGTGGAGGCCATGTAGAACTAGATCCTAACCCCAGTTCTGCCTCTCCCTACCTAGTGACTTAACTTCTCTACATTTAGTTTTCATCATTTCAAAGCAGGCTGATGGGAGATCAAGTAAATAATGGATGCCGAACTATGTCACATAATAGGTGCTCAGTAAATGCCAACACCACTGTACTCAATGTTCAGCCTTTCATAGGAGCTGAATGTTCATTCAGTTATCTGGAAAGAGGTGCAAAGATGTTTTGCTTTCCCTGTGAATTGGGGATATTCTTTCCAGAAGTGAAGTTCAGGCAGTAACTGTACCCCTCTGTACAGTTTCCACAGGCCAGCTTGGCCGTTGTGTTTCCACGTCGCTTGCACGTGTCTTCGCACTTTCTCTCCTCCACAAAAGCCCAAGAAATGCCGTCCTTTGTTGTCTGGCCTCACAATCTTCAGGAAGCCTTTGACTGTCCAGAAAGAAATCAATTAATTCAACTCTTATTAAGAGCTGGGTGTAGTTGTGCATGCCTGGAATCCCAGCACTTGGGAGGCTGAGGCAGGAAGATTTTGAGTCTGAGCCCAAGCTATGTAACTTAGCAACTTAGAAAGGCCCTGTTAAAATAAACAATAACTTTAAAAGGTAGCTCAGTGCAAAGGTCCTGAGTGCAATGCCCAGCACCACCAAAAAATAAGTAAAAATAAGATTCTTAGTTGGTAGTGGCTGGCTAACTCACACACAGAAATTTCTATTTTCAGGAATATTCATACAAATGCAGAACAAGTTGGCAGCATTTCAGGCAGCAAATCAATGCAAGACACACTTGTATGGGAAAAGAACCTAGAGCAAGGACAGGGTTAGAATCAAGATCCCCTAAACTGCTGTGCTTAGGCTGACTGTGGAGACCTTATTGGTCGAAGAGACAAAGTGTGGCTTCCTTTGCAGGAAGAAGTTTTTACTAGGTAGGACTGCTTTTATCAGAGATCGTTTTAGCTGTACAGTCATGTGCACTATAATATTTCAGTCAATGATGGGCTACGTACCCAAAGCTAAGACTATAATAGAGTTTAAAGTTTCCTGTTGCCTTGTGGCATGGTAGCAACTGTAACACTATAATATAACACCTCCCATGTTCCTGTGATGCTGCTGACAGCAAACCTACTGCTCCACTGGTCACGCAAAAGTACAGCTCATACGACTGTGTACAGCACATTCCAAAGCAAATTCTGTCAAACACTTCTGTTTGTGAATTGAACTGTTTGCAAACAGGAGCGTTCATGAACCAAGGTACTACTGCACTTGAAAATTTACTAGACTATACTTTCTATTATTATTTTAGAATGTACTCCTAGTTACAAAAAAAAAAAAAGTTTACCATAAAATGGTATGCCAGGTTATGCCACCAAGAGTTCACACATCTCTTGTGTACCAAGTCCCCTGGTTCCATGAAGAGGCCATGTGGAGTGACTGACCCAGGACATCTAGGTCTGTATAAGTTCTCTGTGATGTTCACAAAACAACAAAACCACCCTGGGATTCATTAACGTGTGGCTGTATATGACTCACCTACTACATCATTCTGGCTCTGAGAAGCATCACATGCAAAGCTGCATCCTACAGAAAAATTTAAATGACTTTAATTTGCTTCTTCTGCCATATATTTATATATGTACAGTGTACTATGCTTCATGAACTTAATTCGTTCCACAGTCCTGTGGAAGATAGCTCAGTCCTGTTTATGTGGGGGAAGACGGTCACGGTTGTGCTCCTCTCCTGATGCTTTTGCAAACAGAAGCAAAATTTTGCCAAACTTTTCAGTTTGTGAACTGAATTGTTTGCGAACAGAAGCATTCATGAGCCAAGTTTATTACGTTTGTATAAAATATATACATAATACATGAGTAAAGAACCCTGTCACTGAGCTACACCACCATCTCCCCCTTTTCTCTTCCTTAAAGTGGGAATCTGTGATAAAAGCACATTTTTCTTCCAGGAAGAAATTATTGAATTACAGGAGCAATTTAACTTATAGAAACAGAATTATTTGCATTTTGGTTATGGGTGTTTTTAGATGGAGAATAGGACAGATTTGGAATGATAAAACCCCAAATCAACCCCGAGGTTTTACTTTTTGTCATTTTGTTCAACTTGTCTTATGTCAGGTATTTATCAGAGACAACACTGAGGAGGAAAGCCAGGCAGCTTCACACATGCATTAATGCCACCCTGAGAGCGCTGTCACGGTGCCCGCACGGGGGAGAGGTTAATGGCAGTGGGAAACGTGCAAAGAAAGGGACACACCACATGACCTAGGTAATCTACAAACTGAATGATTTCTGAATAATTATTCAATTACAATTTTTCCCAAAAATAAAATATCACTCAGCAGATTGTATTTTCACATAAACTCTGTAGGGGTACCTGTTACCATTTATAAGTTCATCACTTCTATTTGCTTTTCTTGTCCAAAACTTATTTTTCTTTTATTTCTTATAGCTCAGAGCAGGAAATAGAATGACAGAAAAGTTTCCCAAAAAAGTACCATCAGGCATTTATTCTGATTCATCTTGGCCTCTCAGTGAAGTCAGATTAGGTTAGCCAGGGAATATACAACCTATATAACCCAATGTAATGTGCTTATAGCCCAGCATTGCTTCTTGAAATAATCACTCCTGGTAACTAAACATTAAACCCTCCTGAGCACAGTGAGACTATTTCCTCAAAGGTGTTGCACACCCTGCCTCAGTCACGGCCTCACCGATGCCCTCTGGGCAAAGCACGTTGGAGGGGTAAGAACCGCCAGCCCCAGGGGCACAGCCAGAAATGCTGCTACCAGCCCCTCAGTGGTGTGAGAAGCAGCGTAGCCTCCGGAAGAGCTTGCTGTCCCGGCAGTGGGAGTTAACACAGCTTGTTCTCTTTCACACTCAAGATAATCCCGATGAGCAGAGTCCAGACCTGCTCCTCCCTGAGGGTGAGGCCTTCTCAGGCGGCCAGATCCTCCCAGCCTGGGCGAACAGAGCAACCTCCCCAGGGGAGCAACCTCCCCAGAGCCCCCTCCGCTGCTGGCCCAGTGTTTCTGCCGCTGCTATCAGCAGCCTAAGAATTAGCTCAGACCCTGCAGTTACTCTCGCTTTTATCAAGCTCATTTACTCCTCAGGTACTCCCACTCGCTTTTTCTTTCTTTCTTTTTCTTGGTTTGTGATGAGATCTCGGTATGCAAACTCCTGGCAGGCCGCCTGCCTCAGCCTCTGGAGGGCGGAGGCTATAGGCTGCACCACACCCAGCCATCCTCACGTTTTCTTGCTCCACTCAAACCAGTGCTTTAGAGAGTACTGAGCGCGGTGGAGCCTCTCCCGTCTGAGTGCTGTGGAAGACGGCGTGGCAGCGGTTCCTGGTCTTTGTTAACCTCACTGGCTCCTCAACATCGCAACATCTTGTTAAATTTGTTTCCACAGTAAGCAGCCCGTGCTACCCGGCCTGAGCTCCGTTTCTCTAACTGGACTGTGATAATGTAAATAAGGCTCACCACCAATTCTTTTTTTTTTTTTTTTTTTGGTTTTTCTCCGGTACAGGGAAGGGCTCACCAATTCTTACGTGAGTGTCCTGCAGGTTTTTGCTGGTGTTTGAAGAACAGGCAGTGTCTTGGTCTGTCCTTGCTGATATGACTAAATGACCTTAGACTGGGTAATGTTTAACTACAGAAATGTGTGTTTCACTGTTCTAGAGGCTGGGGAGTCTGAGATCAAAGCTCCAGCAGATTTACTGTCCCGCGAAGCTTACTGTTTGCTTCAAAACAGTAACTGTTGCTGCATCCTCACATAGTGGAAGAGTTAACAGCTCTCGTGTCTTTTATTAGAACATGGATTTTGTTCACTAGGGTTCCCTTTCATGACTTAATACCCTCGCAAATGTCCCATTTCTTTTCTTTTTCTTCTGAGACAGTCTCCCTCTGTTGTCGAGGTTGGTCTCCAGCTTGCAGGCTCAGTGAGAGTCTCCTGCTTCAGCCCGCAGAATAGCTGGGACTACACGCATGTGCTACCGTGCTTGGCTCCGTTTGTTTGATTGTTTTAAGGAACTGAACTCAAGGCCTCACATATGTCAGACAAGTGCTCTCTGATCCATATTCCTGGCCCTTATGATCCGCATCTTAACACTTCTGCATTCAGTATTAAGTTTCAGCATAGGAATTTGGGGGACACCAGCATTCAGGGTATAGCAGATAGTGCTGGCATTCCGGACATAGCACCCCAAAATATGACTATGGGAGACTAGAAGATCCAGATAAAATGTATCTTTTGTGTATTGTTTCTTTTGGGAAACCCACAGACACAGAAGCTCTGAGAAGTTACCCATTTTAAGGACAATTTACACCTAAATCCCTAGATAGTCTCAATAAATACGGAAAGCATCCCCGTTAATCCACATAACAAACTCTGCCTTCATGTGATGGGCCTTTCCCTGGCGTCTCATCCGAACTAACCCTCTCCCTCTCCCTCCCTTGTCTCCACCACCTCGCAGAAGCCTGAAGCCTTTATTTCTTTTATAATTCAGGATTACATCTAAGTCTCAATCATCGGACCACTTCTTTTCACACTTGTGTGGGATTCTTGTGTATATGTACACAGTTTTCTTTCCAATGTTAGGGCTTGAAGCCAGGGCCTCACAAGAACTTCAACTCACCACAGTGAGCTCTACTCCCAACCCTAAAATTGTTTTGATCTTGTTAACCTTAGAAATATTTAACTCATAAGCCAACCAAAAAACGTAGAAGGGTACAAGCAAGTGGATTCTTTCCCCCTACAGGGGTCTTCTCTGGTCCTTTACAGTACTCAGGCCCTCTTCTCTCTTCTGACTGCTGTGATGGGTGTCTACTCACAGAAGCTTTGACACCGAATTGAGTGGGGTTTCCTTTACAGCAGTTCTGCAACTCTTCAAGTACTAACTGGTGTCGTATGATTCAATTCACTTCCGAAACTATCTTGCATTACCATCAGACCTCATAAGTGAAGGAGTCAGTCCCGCAAGACTGTCCTCACTGGATGGTCACTGCAAGTCCAGGCCTCCTGAGCTTCTGGCCAGCTGGCTACACGCGGTTGCCGCTGCCCCTTCATGTTCCATAACTTTCTATACAGTTCATTTAACGTGAGAAGACGCTTTGCTCACATTAATGGTTTTCTTGTGCAACTCAGGAAGAGTCACGTGGAAGAAACCTGGGGAAGGAGTGAAAATTTCCCTGCCCTGTCTCAGGTGGACCTCAGCGTGGTCACTAACCCACTAGTTATGATGACAGTAAATTCTGAACTGCCCTAAACTGAATCGAGAGGGTTAGGAGCTGGGAGGGAGGAGAGGCGGGGGAGGAGAATCAGTGCACAAGCCAGTGGAGCAGAGGACGGGACTTGCTGTTTGGTGACTCCCTATTACGGGCTGAATTCCATCTTCCCAAAACTTGTGCTGAAGGTCTCCCACCCTTCAGAATGTGAACTGATTTGGAAATAGGGTCGTTGAAGTATAAGTAGGTAAGAGGAGGTCATGCTGGTGTAGGGTGGACTCCAGTGGACTGGAAGAGACGGACACACTCAGAGGGAGAGTGTCACGTGAAGAAGCAGGCGGAGACCCAGCTGAGGCAGCACGAGCCAGAGGACACCAAAGGCTGCCCCAGACTCCCAGAAGATAGAGGGGGCATGGGAAGATTCACCCTCACAGCAAGCAAACCCCGCCTACCCCTCGCGCTCAGACACCAGGCTCCAGAACTATGGGAAGACGCAGTTCCACCCAGCATGTGGCGCTGTGCTTGGTAGCCCTAAAATATAGACTCTACTCCCTTGATCAAAATTGGATTTCAAATTTTTTTCTTTTTTTTTTTTCAAATTCTTTTCTCATACTACATTTTATGTAGCACTTATTAAATATGGGAATACTTTTTCCATGTGTTAGCTTGTGAAATGTCTGTATTTCCTTTCTTTTTTTTTTTTTTGGTCCAAGCTCAACGAAACACCAGGGTCTGTTTTGTCCACCTGCGTATACCCAACATCTAGAAATGAAGGGTCTCTCCGTAAGCACCTTGTCATGAATACAGGAGCCGTCCTGCCACTGGAACCAGAAATTCAACTGCTGCAGGACCTCGAGCACCTTCTCTAGGGAAGGAGTCAGGGCCAACCACATCTTGTGTCAGCTCCTTCGCTCAGCAGGGTAGACATTATGGTTACGCCTCTTCTCTTTGCCTCAGGCTAATCTACAGAGCACCCAGACGCTACCAGGCAGAGATCAGGAGCCTGAGGTAAGTTCTAGAATGACAGCACTGTGCACCTACACAGACAGGCCTCGAGGCAGCATCACAGTGTGCTGCCTTGCTTGTGCGTCTATGTGTCTGTGTGTGTGTGCACGTGTCACTGGGATTGAACCCAGGGAGTGCTGAGCTCCGTGCCCAGCCCTCTCTCCACTTTATTTTGACACAAGTTCTCAAATAGGCTCAGGGTGGCCTCAGATTTGTAAATCTCCTGCCTCAGCCTCCGAAATAGCTGGGATTATAGGATGTGTCTGCACTTTTGGAGAGGCAAGAGTTGTTCTTCCAGGATCCCCACAACAAGTAAGCAAAGAATGTGAGTTCAAACCCTGGCATTGGACACAACCCCACCCCCGCAAAAACACAAACAAACAAGGAGTTCTGGAGCTTGGCAGAGGAAGAGAGACACCTGAAGGGGACAAACAATGGATCATAGCAGCTGCCACTTCGAGTCAGAATACTGCACATTCTTTAAGTCTGCAAAGCAAACTGACCCACTGGTAACTACGGCTATTCCCATTTATCATGAGGAAACTGAAGTTCAGAGAGTTTAAATAAGTTCCCCAAAGTCACATAATTAATGGCCGATGATAAGCCTGAATTTACCATCAGGGATTTGTTGCTGTGATACTTGGCCAGCTTTGCAATCTTACCTAGAGCTGGCCTTGATAGTTTCTTTTTCATGCAGTGGTTACTAAAAAATGAAAAATACATGAGGTTCAGAACACATCACTCACTGGTGACAGCTTACCTTTCCGTCACCACCTACTCGATAGCAAGCATCAGTATAAGGGGCCCCTGAGATACGTGCATACTCAGTTGTATTAGGTCTCACGTTCCTCCTAATGCAGGACCTGCAAGTAGGAGGAGCTCAGTAATGTTTATACTATGGATGGATTAAGTAAGTACTTATTGGTTACCTATATGTACTTTAAAAGAAATTAATGTTGAAATTTCATGTGAGAGAAAAAAACACCTACAAAAGCATTGACCTAGAATTGAGCAATTTCAGTTGCAGAATGCTGCAAAATACTTATATTTTTTATGACTAAAAATGCATTTAATGCTACACTATGGAAAATTCCATCCTCAGTTGCCAAGCTGCCCCTTTTCTCAATATACATTCCCCTCCTGCTCATGCTCCACTTCCTGTTGGGTTCCTTTTTCACACACCTATTCCAATTCTGCATGAGTTGTTGCTAAATCAGGAACTTTTTGTTAAAATCTCCAAGACAACAAAATAACAAGTATTTCCAAATGAGAGCATTCTGAAAGGTAACTTCTGCTAGTCAGGCAGTTGCTGATGGTAACCCTTGGACTAACTTCCTCTCTCCCTGGTAAGAAAACAAGAAATCAATTGGTACAGCACACAAGCAAGATAACAACTCCCTACTCCCCAGCTGAGCGTCTGTGAAACTGTTCCTACCGATGTCTTTTTTTGTTTTACTTGACTGTATCCTTATCTGGAGGAACACTATGCAAAACACTAATCATAAAGAGTGAAGATTATCAGGGAGTATTTTAAAAATCAGTCTCTGGATATTTCCTGGGTACAGTGAAGCAGTTGGATGGGGAGATAACTGCATGTGTTCTACAGCTCAGCAGGATAAGTATGGTCGATCACAATTAATCAAATATTTCAAAATAGCTAATAAAAAGTATTTTGAATGTTCCCAAAACATAAAGAATCAATACACTGATACATATGCCAATTATCTTGATCTGATCATTGCATATTGTATACAGGTACTTAAATATTTCACTGTACCCCCATAAATATGCATAACTACTTGTCAATGAAGAACAAAATATGGTAAAAAACAGAAAATCAATCTGTTGTATCTATCTTTTGAAAGCCATGGAGCTTCCATGGTGGTTTATAGCAAAAGCAATTCAAAAGCTTCATCTCCAAAAGAGCTAGAAAATCCCTGCATCTTTCAAATGGAGACCAGTCTAGTAGATATTTCCTGTACTCCACAGCACAAATGCAGAAAATGAGACGCTAAGCAGAGAAAGAAGTGAGTAACCGGCCTGAGTGTCCTTCTGTCCTATCTTTATCCCACAGTGTGGAGCTCAAATACTGCAATGAGAGAACTTTCCCGGGGCTCAAGTGCTGAAAGTAACCCACCTGATCTTGGGTTCTACCGTGGGAGACCTTTAGGGCTAAAATGCTTGCATTTTGTGCTTTGATATTTATGATGTTCTATCGCCATCTCCTGGAAGAAAAGACCAAGAATGCAAAAGAATGTTAGGATTTCAGGCTTCAAAGGAAAGTAATTTTTCTCAATTGTCAAGTAAGATAGAATTATACAGGAATCACTAAAAACACATGCTCGCATCACACTCCCAGCAAATCAGCACGATGTTGGGGGAACAAGCCAAAGGGCAAACATGCAAGGCTTCAGGGTTGGATATTCGGGAGCAAATGATAACATAAAACCTGGGTAATGAGCCTTTAACGTCCACATCCCCAGAGAAGGTCTGAGTCCTCACGGGTACAGAGACGTGAGATCCCATCTTAGGAGTCAATAGAGCTGCAGGAGTGCAGACATACCCAGAGAATAATTCCCACACTGGCTCTGAAAATGACCACCCTTGTGTTTGCAATCTAAATCTCAGAATTTGGCAAAAGAACTGTAAGGATTTTAAAACATCAGTAACAAGACTAAGCTTAGTTTTGCCAGATTACCTCTTATTTCCCAGGCTGGCTTGTTGCAGTTATTCACACGTACGGCACAAACAACACCAAATCAACTGGAATGTTTGGCTTCATGTGCACAAGATCCCGTACAGCTTTGTTCCAACGTTTGGCTTCCATGCCAACAAAGAACACAGTGAAACACACGCGTTTGCAAACACACTTTTATTTGGATCTTTGTTTCCCTCCATCAGTGTCCTCACGCAATGAATGAAAAAAATCATAAAATTTCAGAGCAGGACACACTTCTACCCCACCACTTCACACTCCCAAATCACAAGTTAAACACACACACACACACACACACACACACACACACACACACACACACGCACACACAGAAAGCCCTAAGCTCAGTGCCCGCTACTCACCCCAGGAACCGTGTGAACCACTTATTATTCTCTTGAAACATCTTGCTCCCTTCCTGTTCCGCCATCTTGACTTGGGAGGAATTTTACACTCTAAGCAGCTCACCAACATCCTGAAGGAAACTGGGATGGCAGATTTTCTTTCTGAATATTGGTTATGCTTTCCTATCAAACAGAACATAGAATACAAATCGAATTTGTATTTGAAGCTAGAAAGTTTTGTTTTGTTTTGTTTTGTTTGAGCAAGGTCTCCTTGTATAGTTCAGGCTGGCTTTGAACTCATGGTGATCCTCCTGCCTCAGCCTCCCCAGTGCTAGGATTACAGATGTGTGCCACCACGTCCAGCAAGACCTTTCCTTTATAACTGCCAAAGGTGGTTGATAATACCTGATGGCCTTTTTTAGGATTCAGCTTCTCTGGAAGGTCTACCATGTAAAAAAGCATTCAGAGAAGCATTAAAAGGCAGAATTCCTACCTTCCAATATTTCCATGATGTCTGAATTTGTCTTCAAGCTAGTCAAAGAATGACAGCAAAAGCATGGTGAACCTCACCGCCTCCACACTCTTGTCGTTCTGGACACTTGCCTGGTGTGCTTTCTGCTTCCTGCCAGCTGAGCATTTGTATTGTTTTTATTAAACAATGAACCCACACTGCCAAAGACTTAACCAAGGTATCCAAGGCGTTGGTAGCACCAGTGGAGCAAGTTTTTTTTTTTTTTTTGAGCAACTCTCCTGAATCCTCCAGTCCTTCATTAAAAAATGGGATAGCCATGCTATAGAGCAACAGCAAGATTATTCAAAAAGAAATGAAGCCATTTTGGACCAAGTAGATTTTCACCTAGGAGCCATCTCTTAGGAAATTCACTCAAAAGCTTCAAAGCAGGGTTCTGAGGTGCTGTGGACTTATTTTAGATATTGTTATCCTGAACAAAGAATTGGTCAAGAGAGGTGGAAAAATTAGTGACATTTCACATTTATTAAAGGTGGGAAAAGAAGCGTGCTCTGCAGAATGAGAGCAGGCACTGGGAAGAGGGTGCACAGTGGCAATTGGATTGACGCCCACAGTTTCTTGTGTCCCCCCACTCTGACATCAGGTCTAAGCCACCCTACGGAGACCCGCTTGATTTTGCACCAGGAGAATTGAAGAGGGTGTTTTCTGACTGGTACCGGGTGCAGGACTTAGACACTGTTCCTCCACGCATGTGTTCTGGAGCTCCGTGACTGACAAGTCATGCCCTCTTGTCTAGCAGGCTGGCCATGCCCTAATCTCCTGCCTCAATTCCTGTGCTAAGGGGTGTATCTAACACATGGCGCACACACTGCAAATGATTTCCAGACAAATGGCCATTCCTGATGGTTGAGACTGTCAGAAAAGGGCTGTTTTCCATAGCACTGTAGACAGCCAGTGTGACGGACTGACAACTGGTGGTCAACTTGCAACACCCAGCTGAATTTAGTAAGCACGGTGCTGGGCGCGGGAGGGCCACCTGAGGACTATTGCCAGCAGCAGAAGAGAGAGAACGGCAGAAGAAGGGACATGGCTGTTGGAAGCTGGTAGAAGCTGTTGGGAGGCTATTGGAAGCTGAGAGAAGCTATAAGGAGCTGTTGGTTCTCCTGGAGGAGCTTTCACTCTGGCTTTCCTGATGAACTTGGCTGTTTTCATCCTCCAAGGAGCTTGAGTCCTTGTTGTCTCTGAGAATGGCTTCCTTCACTTTGGGGGAGCTCTGGTCCTATGAGCATCGCTTCCGGGCTCCAGAGGGGAGAATGGTGCACTGCTCAGTCTCCTGGAGAAGCTTGTCACGTTGGCTTTCCTGATGGGAACTCGGCTTTCTTCATCATCAGAGGAGCTCGGGACCTCACCGTTGCTGAGGAGGGCTGTGGTACTTTTCGGGGGAGCTCTGGTTCTTAATTTGAGCATTGATTCCTGGCTCCAGTGCAGATCCCGCAGCCCGCTAGCACAGATCCTTCATCCCACTGACACAGACTTTCTATATTCCATCATTGACCTTGGGCCTTCCCAGCACAGATCCGTGAAACAGGTCTGCATGAGACACTGTCATGAGCTCTGGGCCTCCAGGTGGACTCATGGGAGGCATTGTTATGGGCTCTAGGTCTTCAGCTGGACTCATGCAGGACATTACTGTGGGATCCAGGCCTCAGCTGGATTCCTTGGTCTTTAGTGTGTGGACCGATTTCCTGCACTCTCTTGTATATGATTCTTTGGGTGACTGTTATAAATAATCTTATAGACTATGTGTCCTGCATTACATTGTTCCCCAAACTACAACAGCCAGGATAATGGCTTCCTTGTCCCTTCGGAAGAGAAAGACATGCCCACTCATCTTCACTGCTTCCCAGCTGAGCACCTACTTGGTGTTCTAGACAGGCCCATCTCCTCTCTGGCCAAAGTCTGGGTCTTACAAAATATAAAGCATTAGTGAATGAAGCAGGGATAACTCCTCATCTATTGCAGGCCTCCCTGGAGAACGGCTGGCCCTCAGAAGTTCAGCAATGCCTGAGCCGCTGGTATCCACAGACCAGTGTCCACAGTATCCAGGTACACATCCTTATTGCAGGCCTACCCTGGACTTGCATTTGTTTTTTTTTGTTTTTGTTTTTGTTTTTTTCCGGTACCGGGAACCAAACTCACGACCTCACACTTGCCAGCCAGGTGCTGTGCCGCTGAGCTAAATCCCCAGCCCCCACCCGGGACTTGTATACTGTGGGAATCTACTGCTTGACTCATGGACTCAGCACAGATATCAGAATTCAACCGCTTCTCCCCACCCGACTCACTGAAAACCTCGCCTTCACTGTCTTTTCTCCTACACTCTACTCCGTGAGACAGAGCTCCGTTTCCAGCACAGAAATTATCACTTCATGCTTTAAACTTGTCACTGAACCTATAAGGCATCATTACTATTTCCAAGGAAAAAGAAGATTCAGGCAGTTCCTTGACTTCTAAAGATCAGGTACAGAGTGAAACTGTATCTGCAGAGGAATGTGCTTCTGCCAGAAAGAACAGCAGGCTGCTTAGAGCAAGGATTTGATAGAGTTCCCAGTACTACTATGACCTTAATTTCTAGAGTATTCAGAGCGCTTCATTACTTGCAGAGACCTGAGATACACCAAGGTCAGAATATTGATATTTATCTTCTTTAAAATGCCAATTGCCTTCTGCCTATTCATTGCCAACACTTTGTTCAAATCTCCCCCTTTTCAGGAATTTTTGTTATGTTTCTGAGTAATAATTTCACTCTGTGCTCTCCATAGTAGTTTTCCACACACTGTAATATAGAGTAATACCTAATATCGAGCTCTGCGTTTTCCCGTTGTCTCTTACCCCCTCTTCCCGCACCCCCGCCTCTCCCAGCCCCTCACCCCATCACTCCAGTAGGTGTGGGGGTTTTGTTTTGTTTTGTTTTGTTTTAACCTGGTGCACTAAGGCATTAAGGTCACAGCTTTCGATTCGAAGAATCAGGAAAGTGAGAAAGAATGGCTTTTTGTTTTGCTTTTTGGAAGGACGGAGATTTGGTCGGGGGCGTTTGTTGGGTGCTGTTCCCACACACGTACCCTTTAGTTCTAAAAGCTGGGACTTGAATTTTGCGAGCCAAATCCTAGCAGATCTGGAGCACAGGCTTAGGCGGTAAGCCCTGCAAAGTGATGATGTGAGCTGTTTCATTATCCCCCAAATAGAAACGAGAGTTTGACCACAGAGTAGAAAAAGGAGAGTCAGGGGAAAAGGCCAGCGTAAACAACCAGGAAGTTCCTGAAAAAGAGCCCGGCACTCTGGTCTTTGCTTCTCTGATTTCTGAGGGCATCGAGGGGTAGCAGGAGTGCGGAAACTGCAACCAAGCCCAAGAACAGTTTGAGGGGATCCCAGCTTTCAGGAACGGTGCCCTCTTCTCAGTACGTGCCCAGAAAGTCACAGGACTTGTGGAGAAGCCCCAGGCCCGCCTGGCAGCCACACACAGGAAGGCGTGTGCAGCGGCGGGCGAAGGGGTTCCCCGCCCCAGCCCACTCTCCGACTCCCGCGCTTCCTCCAAAGCCTGCAGTCTGACAGCAGACCGGCAGCCCTGGGGATGCAGAGGGAACGGAGTGGCCGTGACAACCAGACGACACAGCCGTGCGGAAGTCACCGGGGGAGGTCATGGCTACAAGGACCAAGAAGGG